GTTTTTTTTTTCGAAGTTGTGGAAATTAAACAAAAGAGTGACTTTCAATAAGTATTATTGGATATTGGATAAAAAAGTTTCTGTTTCTATTATACGTCCCACTGCTGGGCCCAGGCCTCTTCTCATTTCTGACAGGGTTTTAGGGCAAGGAAATGTCCGCCGCGCTGCCCCAATACATGTTGGCGAACTTCACGTCTTCGAAATATTTTTTTAATTATTTCTCAGACATGCAGGTTTCCTCACGATGTTTTCCTTCACCGCCGAGCACTTGGTAAATCAGCACTTAAAATTGCAATTAACTATTTCGATACGAATATTGACGATACGAACTGGATGAGATTGCTTGATAGCGACAGGCATCGCTAAACCAACTAAATTAAAAAACGTGCACTATTAAAAAATTGGACCAATATTTCGGATACGCCTACCGATAAATAATTCACCAGTTCCCACCATTCGTTCATGGAAACAACCGGGAACTATAAGCAGAGGAAATCATAAGACGTTCGGATTGCGTAACACAGCCGTAGAAATTCGACAAAATTTAAGTCGGTGGAGCATTAAAGGGGACGACGACGGCATAGACGGTTAATTCACCCCATAAGGGTCGCACTGGCGCCGGGAATCCTGCCGTAGACAAAATTCTAAGTACGACGTCTTGCCATCGCGTTTGTCGCCCGCCCGCGCCATCCGCGCACAACTTTTCTTAAATGTTACCTTCAACTTCTTGTAACGTTTAGAAATGCATACAGCTTTTACGACGTTATTAATTAAGTTTTCATTAAATTATTGCCATTTAATGAAAACTTATTATTTTCTAGCAAATTTATTTTAATGTATTTAAAGCATGTAAAATCATAGTTAAAGCAATTATATTTGAAGAACATAATTATCTCTGGAATTATTTATATTAAGGTAATACGAAATGCAAATTAGATTCCGCATACAATATTATAAGAGGCAACACAAGCAAAAAGATTTTAATGTTCACGGGTTTCGATAATGGTGGTATAACATTATCCACTATAAAATACCAACACCAACGCTGGGGAGTAGGCGTAGAAGGTGCAAGACATCTAGGACTGGCATCGCTACTCCGATTATCAAACGTGGTGATTACAGAAAACAATTCGTACAAAAAAAAATCCATCTCCAGTAGTAGATATTTACGGGCTGATAAAAAACATTAAGCTTAATAATTATAGCGTTAGCTCAGGGATTAAACGCGAACAACCTCGCCGCAACCGCCAAATTGTTAATTGCAATTTTAAGTGTTGATTTACTAAGTGGTGAAGGAAAACATCGTGAGGAAATTTGCATGTCTAATATATTAAAAAAAAATATTTCAAAGACGTGAGGTCCGCCAAGCATTAGGGCAGCGTAACACTTCCTTACCCTTAATCCCTCTCAGAAATTAGCATAGGCCCGCGCTCGGCAGTGTGACGTATAAAGGCTGTATTTTTACATAATTTACTTTTTAAAATATTAGAGATTTTAATTAAACCTAAATAGGTAATTGTACGCCAATTTTTAAAGTCATTATATATTTGTGGAATTTGTCGACGTCGATAAAGTAAATTAAAATCCATTTTACCTTCACTATTTCCTCAAGAATTATTATAACACCGCATAATGGATTATAAAAAGAAAGAAAAAACAAAACAGGTAAATTACGCAACCTATTCGTACGTGATATCACCGGGGCACAACTTTTGATTATGTTTATGCTAGTCGGCAACTTATTTTTTATGTGCGCCACAAATTATATTTGAAAGATGTTGCGACTTGCTACATATTTTTTTCAGGTGTAATTATTACTAAATTGAGTTCTAACGTGTAAATCTCCGAGTTTAAGTTAACCAAGGCCAATTAGTACTTGCATTGCTGTGATGCATTTTATCTAGAGCCGTGGTAGCTCAGGGGCTAGGCGCTCACTGTACATTTCACAGTACATGAGCGACCTGTATACCATCCCCACCAACACCAATGAAATTATTTATTGCAATTTTAAGTGCTGATTTAGCACGTGGTCGGCGGTGAAGGAAAACATCGTGAGGAAACCTGCACGTCAGAAAAATAAGAAAAAATAATATTTCAAAGGCATGTAAAGTCCACAACACGCATTGGGGCAGCGCGGCGGGCACTTCCTTGCCCTATAACCCTCTCAGAAAAGAGAGGAGACCTGTGCCCAGCATTGGCTGTAACTTTAGTTTACTTTAAGACCAATTATCATTCAAATTTCAATATAAACTGGAACTTGTTAAATTTAAGTGATATTTAAATTTTTTACTAAAATTTATAATAAAATAAATGACGTAGAAATCACATGAGTTTTTAAAAGAAAATATTAGGCTGAGTTACTCTTTTTCCTTTTACCATTTAATTGCATTCTTGGCAATAATGTGAAGTCGGCGCTTTTGTAGTGAACAAAGCTAGCCTTGGTAAGGGCTCCTGGCGACAAATCCATCAGGGTGTCGACAGGCCATTTGTTGCGGGTGTGTTCACGCTTGATAAATCGTGCAACTTGTCTACGTTTGCCAAATTTATATTCATACACAAAGCGAATATCGCGCAAGACTAATTGAATGTGATTTACACAAAACATTGGATTTGGGTACGTTATTAATTCGAAGATTGAATTAAAAATTATAGTTTATAAAGTTATGTTTAAGCATTCGAAAAGACAAAATTGCGTTATGAATTTAATGTCTTAGTTTAAAAGTCGTCTCGTTCGACGGATCACAAATTTTCCATTGGAAAAGAGGACACTGAATAAGTAATCTGACGATGATAAGTCGCATCAGCCCGCCACGCCATCGACGTTTCTACGAGCGACGTAAAATTTTCACGGTTCTTACGACACTCAAATTTTCGTGATTTACGTTAGCTGTAGAGGTATTCATAATTTATGCATTCCAATTCCCAACCGAGTTTCAGATACATAACATTCCTTTTAAATTATACGGAAAAAAAATTGTCACTGTATTTTTTATTTTTGCAAAATTCTTGATTTACACATTTACATGAAGGCAGAACTTTTAAAAGTTCCACATATTTACATGAAGGAAACGATACCGAACTAAGTGGCAGTTCTCGCAGGGCACGCTGAAATTATTTATGGAGTCTTTTATTGCTTAACTTCATTCGTTGCTGTGGTTGCTTTTATTCCTGTGACGGGAAAAAGTTGCGAGATTTTATTGCCGGTGTGAGATAGGACACGTTATTGCACTAACTTTTAACGGTAGCTCGAATTAAAATAGATTTTTTTGCGGTCAATAATGGTTACATCCAGATATGACTGCGACTATTCTTACTGTTTATTGCCTGCTATTTTTAGCCGCTTCATCTCACAACTGATTTGCAGCTAAATTTACTTTTATGCGACTTTGCAGTATTTTCCTAATTAAAACCCAGAACTTACGGTATTTTCAACAATGACTTCATGAAAGAAGAAAATTGGAATCCTGTCTATATTTAATTGTCTTTACGTAATATCGCATTGTGACAAAATTAAACATTTAAAAATTTTTGTTCTGTTCGGACTAATTCCGGAATTTTTAACCGATAGTGATGAAGCTTCACTAACAGATAGAGAGCAATGCTTGAACTGATCTAGATTATATTTAATAACAGAAAACATGCAATTTTTTTTTAAACTATAAGAGATACCTATACAGTTCCTAGAGTCTTTGCTTAACAAAGTCTCGGATTGGGAGCGACTAAATCTAGTCCAGTTCAATCCCCAGAAGACACAAGTTTGCGCGTTTACCGCTAAAAAGAACCCCTTTGTCGTATCTCCTCAGTTTCAAGGCACTCCCCTTGTTGCCTCAGCCAGTATCGGCATCCTCGGCGTCGACATATCAAGTGACGTGCAGTTTCGTGGTCACTTGGAAGGGAAGGTCAAATTGGCCTCTAAAAAGCTTGGCGTGCTCAGCAGAGCGAGACAGTATTTCATGCCGGCACATCGCTTGCAACTTTACAAAGCGCAAGTTCGGCCCCACATGGAATACTGTTCTCATCTCTGGGCCGGGGCACCCCAGTGCCAGCTCCTTCCACTTGACCGCATCTAGCGCAGAGCGGTTCGAATCGTCGACGACCGAGTTCTTTCTGATCGGCTCGATACACTGGCACTGCGTAGAAATGTTGTATCACTTTGCGTATTTTATCGCATCTATCACGGGGAGTGCTCTGAGGAATTGTTCGGACTAATTCCAGCCGCTCAATTTCACCATCGCACATCGCGACAAATCTCGCGTTACCATCCATACCATCTGGATGATTGGCGGTCCACCACTGTGCGATTTAGAAGAAGTTTTCTCCCTCGCACAACTTTCTTGTGGAATCAATTACAACCAGCGAATTTTCCGGACCGATACGACTTAGGAACCATCAAGAAAAGAGCTTACACCTTTCTAAAAGGCCGGCAACGCATCTGCAATTCCCCTGGTGTTGCGGTTGTTCATGGGCGACGGTAGTCACTTACCATCAGGTGAGCCGCATGCTCGTTTGCCCAGTCTTCTTTAAAAAAAAAAAATAAAATAAAAACTTTTTGTATAAATATACTTACATTTGATCTTCTATTTCTTTAGTTAATAAGTTTTAATGCAAAATCCATGTTTAACATTTTTTCCCCTTTAAAACCATTTTACGACAAAACTATTAGTGCTAAAGGATAACGTGATAAGACGTTTTTGGCGTGAAATTATTATATCATCAATTTTTATTCCAAACATATTTCCATATTGCGCGTGGTTTTCGCGATTATAGCAAAAACCTGATAAAGAGATTTTTTTGATATTTGAGCTACTTGCCCAAAAGCTACTACTATTGTTATAGGAGTGGTACTGCAAACTAAAAGCTGATTTTTACATTATACATTTCATAAAATACATGCCAATAGAACAAACTGTTATATTTCGTAACTATCATAAAAATTAATAAAAGTCATTCTTTTTTTGCAGAACTCAATCCGTCACAACCTATCATTACACAACCGGTTCATGCGGGTGCAAAATGAAGGAACTGGTAAATCATCGTGGTGGATGATAAACCCGGACGCGAAACCCGGCAAGTCAGTCAGAAGGCGAGCGGCGTCAATGGAAACGTCAAAATTTGAAAAAAGGAGAGGCCGAGTCAAAAAGAAGGTAAGATTTTTTTTATTAATTTGATCTCATATTTTTTTTAAAAAAACCTAAAGCGCTATCATTTCTTTACGTCATTTTAACAGACTGAAGCACTGAGGAACGGTGTTACAGCAGACGCTACTCCCAGTCCCAGTAGTTCCTTGTCGGAGAGCCTCGACATATTCCCAGATTCACCTTTACCCAGGTTAATATTTATTTATCATATTTGTAATATTTGTATGTATTGACACGCTAACGTTAATCAAGCTTACAGATTACTTAGATTATTAGAATTTAGTTCGATACTTTTTGTTTATTAAAATAATAATAAAATCAATATGGTCAGTACTGATGAAGTGGCATGAAACAATTATTTCATCAGTAACGAATGTGTTCATGCTAATTTGACTTACTTTTAACTTCATTAAAATACGAATAAAAATGTACACGTAAAATGTTAGTGTTGATTAGCATTTCTTTGATATCATGTCTTGCTTGCTTTAGATATTTCAGTTTTAGAACCTTAAACGAGGTCACAAATTTATAATAAAACTATCGGCGTAAAACTACATAGACCAGTCCATAAAATTGAGTTACGACAACCGTGTTACTTTACGATAAAAGGTTTTAAATCATTCACAACCATTAGATGATGAGTTATACGAATGCTGAATCTCGTCATTTCGGCTATATTTAACATTTTTATTGCCGAATATTTGTCGAGCTTGCGAGCTTAATCGACATTTATTTCGGATAGTTTTTATCCCTATGGGGCTGCCATATACGAAATTTCTTATGAAATTATCTTTACCGTAGTTTATGGTAATAAAAAATATTTCTACGCTGACCATTTAACTCGTTATGATCATCGCTTCATTTGGCATTCCCAGTTTATATGCTAGCCAGACATAATAGAGGCATTAGATTTGCATGTTTCCCATAACATTATGAAACTCCTTAGAGACCGCGCTAGATGATCTAGGCAAGTTTTATTTATGCTGACAATTACCATTATTTGCCATTTAAAGGTCTATGATTTATGGCTAAAGTGAGAATATTCTCTTTAGCCATAAAAATCGACGTCATTCAAAATTATATTTTCTTTTAAGAAACGAAAATATTGGTATTGTTTGCTTTGTGCGTCAATATTATTAATATAAATACTTCAAAAATTACTAAGAACATGATATAAAGAAATTTTGATCTCAGTTAATTTGAGCGTGTCCCTGCAGTTGGATGCGCTTACAAAATTCTTCTAGTATAATTTGTTGACATAAAATCACGTCAAACACTTTGTGTAAAACCCTTAACAGTTCTTAATAATTATTCCCTTATTTTTGATCATATTACTGATATTTTCGTATTATTATAGTAGAAAAACAATCTTGTTTTTGACGCTTGTTCGCTTTTGCGTAGCAGTGGTTTTCAGTTATCACCGGAGTATCGTCAGAGAGCTTCATCCAATGCATCGTCGTGTGGCCGCCAGTCACCAAGATCATCGCTGCTAACTTCAGAACCCGACTGGGTCGCCGACACGTACAATCCAGCTAGCGATTTCGCATCGTCTAGCGACTTCACAACAACAGGAGATTTCGCAACTACCAGTGATTTCACACAAGTGGACTTCGCTCAAGAAGAACAACTGGCTGGTTCTCTCGCGGACTCAATGAAACTACAAGGAGCAGATCCATTTCTAAATACGTAAGATTTTAGTTTGGTATGCTGCAGCCAATAGAAATTATTTTTGTCATAATGTCTTCATGGATCATGGATCTAAGCCAGCATTAACATTTCACCACGACAAGTTATAACTAAAATCAAAAATCTTTTCTATTGTGCTCTATCGAATTTATTTGCCTTGCATTAGAATGCTTTGCCTATTATTTGTTATCCAATTTATTTCAGAAAAGCAAAGTACTTTAGTTTATGTGTTAAGCTACACCTTATAAATGTTCTTTAAGAAAATCTGCAATCAGTAAACATTTACGAATGAATTTTAATATTATGCACTAGCCTCTTAAAAGCTGTCACGAATAGATAGTTTTAGATAAATCGGTGTTCCAATACCTATCGCCTTGTTAGGACACTATTCCCATCAGTGGTCTAAACATTTTACGTTTAGGTTGTAATGGTTATTCCAAAATTTACAATTTTTTAATGTCAAGTCTTATAGGCGACTTTTATGATACCCTTGGTAAGTTCGCTTCAAGTGACCAAAATATTACTAAATTAATTATCATCTAAACGTTCTTATTTGTTATACTAAATAATATCCGTTTAAGTATATTGAATATGCCACTCACTTGTTCATTGTCTATATCGTTTGCGTATCAATATTTTATTTCTGATGACCTACGAATTGTGTCACGAGTTTCACCCGTAGTTTATCTGAATCGCGTTTCAATTATTTATCACATGCGCGACCATCAATAACAAGCAGACTGCGTAGTCGTCTTTTGACAGTAGGTACTAGTAAACTTCTTAGAGTCATGCTGCAGTTGCATTATTTTATTACAACACGAGCGGGTCACGGCTCAAACGAGGGCGGGGGTTTTTTTTATAGAATAAGGGTGACAAACGAGCACACAGTCCACCTGATGGTAAGTGGTTGCTGTGGCCCATAGACATCTACATCTATCTTCGTTTGCAAATTAAAATGCAGATGCGTTGTCAGCCGTGAGGACTAAGATATAATGCCTCTTTTCCAGTAAAATGGGTCTCCGGTTCTCTACACTCACCATACGAAACACAGCAGCATTAAGCTGCTATTTTACGCTGGTATTCTGTGACAGTGTGGTCCTTCCCCGGTCGAGCCGACCCATTCGTGCTACAACTATACTATTAATATAGCTGCAGCATGGCTCTACCACGTACACAATGCCACGGTTTAATAGCGAATAGCAACGATATAACATAGGTGAGTGTAGACTGTAGAGAAACGGAGACCCTTTTTCGAGGCATTTCATCTTGATCCTCAGAGTGGTAACGCATCTTCATTTTGATTCTTAAGAGTTCTCGAGGATAGATGTAGATGTCTATGGACACAGCAACCACTTACCATAAGGTGAACTGTGTGCTCGTCTGTCACCCTTATCCTATAAAAAAAACATCTGAATACCATTCACATTACTATTCATAGCACCGGCGAAGTGCATTATCAATTTCACTGGTGGCTATCAGATACGTGCCGACTACGTCGTCGACATCCTCGAGCAGCGGCTACCGGTACTCGTTCGGTGCGTGCCCGCGGCACCCGCACGGCGCGTGCGGCTGCTCGCTGTACGCGCACCCCGCGCACCCCGCGCACCCGACACACCCGCATCAGCACGCGCTCGACCACTTCGTGCGCCCGCCGCCACCTGCGGATCCCGCCGATATCATGCAGACAGGTCAGTAAAAAATAAGTGTCCACTCTGTTTGATGCAGTAAGTTGAAGCGATCGGCGTACGTCTCACAAACACGCTTCTGTATTACAATGTCTTGCGTGTAGAGGCCCGGTTCGCGGGAGTTGGCGAACTTGGTCAAACTCTTGCAACGTATTTATTTACCAAATACTGCTGTTGCTATTTGCCTGGTGAATAAAGTCAAGCAAATTAACATGCGTATCGCCACTGTACACATTAAGTATGAGCATGTACATTGCAGGATCGGGTGATTGTATAAAGCCAGCACTACTTCTGTAAATGTATTTTCACACTGATGTAACTTATTCTCTACAAGCCAATCCTCATCCGATGCGTATTACGTGGTAGAGCCACACTGCAGCTATATTATGGTTGTAGCACGAATGGGGTCGGGCTCGACCGGGGTAGGACCACGCTCTCACAGAATACCAGCGTAAAATAGCAGTTTAATGCTGCTGTGTTTCATATGGTGAGTGTAGAGAATCGGAGACGATTTTTACTGGAAACGAGGCATTCCATCGTATTGCTCAGAGTTGACAATGCATCTGTATTTTTATTCTTAATTGGAGATAAATGTGGATATCTATGGGCCACAGCATCCACTTACCACCATCAAAATGAACTGTGTGCTCGTTTGTGACTCCCATTCTATAAAAAAGAAGCATCCGGCTAATCAACAAACCCGGTTCAGGTGATCGATCAATAACCGTTTATCATTCAAAACGTAGTGTAATGGCGTCGTAATGGAATCCATTACCACAATTTAATCCGTGGGTGTTGTGAGAGACGAAATAGGGAAACCAGAACCGGCCACGGGCAACGGCATCTTTCAGATAACAGCTGAATAAATATAAAAAATTGTGGCTGCCAACTCTCTCGGCAGATATGGCATATAAGCCTATGTTCAGCAAATCCTCTCCTCGTATTAAGAAATAATTAAGGGTTCACTATCATTAAAATATGATTGTGCAATTAGAATATTAGTCGTAGCAGCGAAGCAAAAACTGGTAACAAAAATCATGTAATTATTTAAGCGTATAACAATAAAGACGTGCAAATTAAAAGATTTTGATTTAACTAGCAATCAATAACAAATAATACACAGAAAATAGCCAGACCCGGATGGTGACAACAGACGCGGCGCTCATGAACGGCGGAATGATGGTGCAAATTGGTGCAATGGGGCCCACCACCATTATGGGGCAGATCATGGGTGCTCTCAACACTGGCCCGGTAGAAGACTTGAACATCGAATCTTTGGATCACGGCTTCGATTGCAATGTGGATGAGGTCAGTGGACTTGGTCCCGAAAACGTCTTAGAAGTAAACAAAGAATTAATTTTATGGTTCTCACTCCCTCCATCTTATAGAAATCCACTTGAAATATTTGTATCTTACTTAGGATTTTATGTCCCTATTATTTTATATATTTATATAAATATTTTGAATAAGTGATTAAGGGGACATTTCACGTTTCTACTCGATATGGCGGCGGTGTAAGTTAAACCAGGTGAGTGATCTTATGATTGCCGATAGCGGTTTGTATGACCATCTTTTTAATAATAATAATCTCCAGACCGAATTTCGGTCAAGGCAGCCAGTCTCAACGGAGACTAGCCATCAGCGTAGGACAGGATTATAGTGATCAGATGTATGCGCAAGCACAGGTGCACTCTCTTAAGTTATTTTGGCCCGACCTGGGATTCGAACCCTGGACCTCATGATAAGCAATCGCGTTTACGATCACTAGACCAATGAGGCAGTCAGACATAACCAGCACACGAAGCGCCGCTTCGCCGACAGTAGTCCCGAATCACCCCAACCCCTGCTTTTGGAGAGAGGCTCCTCTAGCAGGGGGGGGGGCTCGATGTAATTCAAGGGCCCCTCAGAAAGAAGTACGAACCTCGGCTAGAACCACTATCGCAGTGTGGGTTACGGGTCGCAAAACTAAAAACGCCCCGTATCACGGGTATTCCACAGACACGTATTCGTGTACGGGATGTGTCCGTGACCTCGCGTTCGCCGGCAAACGCGGTGCGTCCTAGTGATCTGTACTAGTGTAGTGGCGAATGTGTGTGTGTGTGTGTGTGTGTGTGTGTGTGCGTGCGTGCGCGCGTGTGTGTGTGTGTGTGTGTGTGTGTGTTTGTGTGTGTGTGTGTGTGTGTGTGTGTGTGTGCGTGTGTGTGTGTGTATGTGTGTGTGTGCGTGCGTGCGTGCGTGCGTGCGAGCTTGCGTGTGTGTGTGTGTGTTTGTTTGTGTGTGTGTGTGTGTGTGTGTGTGTGTGTGTGTGTGTGTGTGTGTGTGTGTGTGTGTTGTGTGTGTGTGTGTGTGTGTGTGTGTGTGTGTGTGTGTGTGTGTGTGTGTGTGTGTGTGTGTGTGTGTGTGTGTGTTAATGTTATACAAACGGATTCCCTCTCCTGTGGTAAGAATTCATGGAAGTGATCTTGTCGTCGGGATTAAGAAGAACGTTCTTGGGACGTCTCCTGTGGGGGGCAACATCCATCTCTGGGGTGTACGAGCCCGCTTCATTCACCAACAGATTGTTGTGCTCTTTTATCGAATCAAAATATTTTGTCAATAATTTTCTACTATTGTCCATAGGTCATAAATCACGAACTAAGCATGGAGGGAACGTTGGACTTCAATTTCCCTCAGCAGCACAACGCAATGGCTGCGGAGGCCGAGAGCCAGTTCGCAGCGCCGGCGCCGCCGGTCCCCACCACGCTGTCGGGAGGCGGAGCGCCCAGAACCCCTTACTCCGTCGCCCCCTCTTGGGTCCACTGAAATCACCTTTTGTAACACTACTTAAGGCACCGATACACATGGACGACTTACGCCCTAGACCAATCGCCCTCGTTAGAATCGCGATTACGATTCCTCGGGTTTAGAATAATGTTTTATTCTCTCATCATTTTGTACATATGACGCGAACGGACTCTTCTGTTTAAGTTTTCTTTTGTTATATTATCGTATATAGTCGAGATTTTTTTTCTTGTTCATGTTAACTAATGTTAGAATTTTATTTAGTGTTATTGCTAAGTGAACCGTTACCGATCGTTGTTGAAGTGTCAATTGTGTTAGCTTAGGGCTTTAGTGTTAAGCTAGGTGGAAGCTTGTGATATAGTTAGGCTTGTTGCTTGGACCGAGAGGGGGCGTGAGTTCGATCCCACAGTATGCAGTCCAACTGGAAATTAAATTAAGGTATTATTTTAATTATTCCCAACATCTTTGTTTAGTATTAATGATATTTGTATGACACCTAGTAAAATATCATTAATATTTTGGTATGCATTAATGATGTCTTACTAGGGAGTAGGACTTCTTTTCCGAGATGTCCGTCTTATTACCACTCTCTTACCTATTTCTGCCGCCAAGTACCTAGATTCGGGTCAGTATGATATATTGTCATCCTGATTTTATTCTTCCCTTCAATTCGGAGCAGACAATTTTTATTAATTAACAGAAAAGGATTTCTTAACAAGCGGTATAATAAAAAAAATATATTGGTAAATCCAATTGGGCATACCTTAAGCGCATTAAAGAAATTACGTATAACATGATTATACGGAATTTTTAAAGTAGTTTAAATACATTACATTTCGGCAGCACTATCGGCTTCAATACCCTCGAAAACCATGAAAATGACACCCATGATGAAAAAATTGACACCTATTGCAGCCGCCATCTTGGATTTACATTTCGACAGCACTATCGGCTTCAACACCCTCGAAAACCATGAAAATTACACCCATGATGAAAAAATTGGTACCCATTGCAACCGCCACCTTGGATTTACATTTCGACAGCACTATCGGCTTCAACACCCTCGAAAACCATGAAAATGACACGCAAGATGAAAAAATTTATACTACTTACTTTTAGTACGTACTACTATTATTTATTCTGTGCTTTTAAAATATTGTAATAAAAAAAATCTCTTATTATTATTATAATCAAGTATTTAAGAAATTTGGTTATTCGAATATTGTGTATTTGAACAGCGATCTTTTTGAGCCGCTGCAAACAATCGAAACAATGTCCACTCACGACGGCGACTGAAGCCGAACTAAACTACTCTGTGGCTGTAGCTCCCCATTTACAGAAATAATTTACATACAAGGCTACCAAATCAACGAAAATTTCGCCATTTTGGAGCCTTTTGGAAAAAAATTAATTATAGCTAAACAAAACAAAATTACACTGCCATTTACACTCAGTGGGTTCCCACATGATAGATGAAGAGATTAAAAAATAGATTGAGTTAAACAATTGATATTTTCGTAAGTTATCGTGTTTACAAGCCTTGGGTACATGATAAATCCACACCATAAGCCACTAAAACCCCTTTTTTTATTCAAAAATAGCAATTAATCGATTTAAAAAAAATATTAACAAGTTCAACAATCATTTATCTTTCTAACAATGTGCTTTTTATATAATTTATATGTATAATATGATTGCTAGATACGATTTTATTCGATAAAACGTTGGAATCTTAATTTTTAGGCGATAGTAGAACATACCTTGCGCTTTCGCTTAAGGTATGCAAAAATTGTGCAACCGACTTTTTAAACTTTTTTTTTAAACTTAACTAAACTCGACCGATTTCGATAAAATTTAAATGGGATCACCTAGGAACCTTTTGAAACAAATAAGAATTTTCCAAATCGGTTCAAACATCTTCGAGTAATCGATGTTAAGAAAAAAAATCCGACGAATTGTAAACCTCTCCATCCTACTTTTTTACAACCTCCGAAAAGAGTACTTTTCAAACTTCCTTTTTGAAGTCGGTTGAAAAGTACTCTTTGTTTATATGTCAACGTTTAATTATCTTTGAAACATTGCACATAGTTGTGATGTTAATAAAGTGAAGTAAGAAACGGATCAAAAATCTCACATCGAAAATATAGCTTAAAATGTATAGAACAGTTTTCACCGAAATACACGCGATCACAATCTTGCAACGCAATATCCTATGGATTTATCTTAATAAGAAAAATACTACGAAAATTCTGTATCGAAATAAAATAAACTTAAAAGCAGCGAGCAAATTTTCCAGACGGCGAAATATTAGCGAACATTTAACAATACAATAGCAATAAATCCGGTGTGTATCAGCGATAATCTACCGAAAGTTTTCCGAGTCGAGTGTCCAATAACTTGGTCTGTCGGTATCGGTCGCTCGCGAAACTATAACTCTATTGTTTCGTGAAAACATTGCAAATGGCGATTTGACCCCATTCCGTCGCGTTTAAGATACGACGATGATTGGAGTTACGTTTTACTTCAAATTTGAAAGTTTTTTTTTACATCCTTATTTATCAGTTTATATCTTTGCGTTTTAAATATGTAAATGACTAGCGGTACCCGCACTGGCTTCGTTTGGGTAGGAACTATTGATGTGGCGTTATTAATATTTAGGATAATCAAATATCATTTATTATATAAATTTTTCGTTTTATAAAATCTAGTCTTCAAGTTATTAGAATAAAATATAACCTAGATCTCTCCTGGCACTCTATATGTTCGTAAAGTTCCATTACAAATGTTTTAGCCACTACGAAGATTTGCCCGGGCAGACAGACAGACAAAAATTTTAAAAATAGTTGTTTATGCAATCAAACAACCCCCTGAGCTTAATACAACCAAGTTATTTCAAAATTACAAACAGACACTTCAGTTTTATTTATTATTGTATAGATTAAAACAACATTGTAAACTCGATGCATACAATCGGGGAATTTCTACCCACTTCTAGATTAAGTACTGACTGAAATTAATCTATATGCCTTGTTTATTGCTTGCACAACACTTATTTATTTATTAGTAGGTTGTTAGCTTTATTGAAGGTTGTTTCATTAGGTTGTTAGAAGGTTGTTGTTCAAAACCCTGATTTCTAACATCAATAGAAATGCCTCAAGAGGCAATAACTTATGACAGCTAATGCCATCTACATAAGGATTGGTAGGTTTGATCATTATACTCTTTAAATAGAACTTAAACTTAGGCCACTTCTCAAAAAAATATAACAATAACGAGTATGAATTAACTTTGATATAAAAAAAAAAAAACTTATCCGTCGTGAATCCTTACGTACATGCATTAAGTTTTACGACTGCGTGTTACAAGAAGTAAGTGAGTCACTCGTGTTTACGTTTCATTGTGCGCGGATTATGACACGTGATACTCGCTTTATTTATGAAAGAACGCTTGCAAAAAAAGTTGCCGAATTTTCGGCGAATGTAACACGCCTTTATGCGAGGTTATGAGGCGGTCAATGTCGATATAATCTAAAAAAAAACCCCGCAAGTATAAAACGTGCTTTATATCTTCTCAGTCTCTTGGCCGTACATTGGCATTCTTACCTCAAATTCGCTGTTTATATAAAGGCGCTGTCACATTCAACTAACCGTATTATATCGTTCATTATTTTTAAATAAGCTGCTGTTTTAAGACTGTGTTTTTTTTTAGTCATTTAAACGCAGTAATTACAATATAACTTGATACACGATTTCGTTATTGACGAAATAACTTCCTAAATGTGTAGTAGGGTTTGTATTATAGGTCACAGGTAAAGCCTAAATACTTATTTAATTTTTTGAATATACGGTGAAGTCAGGACGAATAAATACAACATTAATTTTCTTACGTACAATTATGTCGCTGGCAAAAGGAACTTCTAGTACGAAGTATTTAATTGCCATATTCGTATTTTTTTTTATAAAATAAGAGTGACAACACGACGAACACACATTCCACCTGATGGTAAATGGATACTGTGACCGTAGACACTTCCATTTATTCTTGTTGACTAAAATAAAAGCCTCGTTACTAATAGAAAGGGTCTTCGGTTCTCTACCTTCATCAAACAAAACACAAAGCATTAAGTTGCTATTTCACTTTGGTATTCTGTGAGAGCTTGGTCCTTCCACTATCGAGCCAACCATTCGTGCTGCAACCGAAATATAGCTGTAGCGTGGCTCACGTTAAGTTCGTCACAAGGTCTTCCATTTTACGAACGGATTTATAGCATTTTTGGAAATAACTATTCATTAATGGTCATTTTTCTATAAATTCACATGGAGCGTAGAGCCTACATTTGTTTCATTTAAGACCTGTCAGGGTTGAGATTGCTCAGCGAGTTATGGAGAGTGCTATACTCGATCGGACATTCTCTGTGTGATAGAATTCGTAATGAAGATATCCGCAGTCGAAACAGAGAAAACCAGCATAAGTCCAACGGATCAGTAACCTGAAGAGGCAATAAACCGGTCATATAGCTTGAAAAACGCGAATGATTAAATGTTGTGCATATCTATCTTAGATGTACCATTAGCAACTTTGCAAAAACTTATAATTGATAAAATAATGTCAAAAATAATGTTATATAATGAATGTTGTTGGTGTGTCTTACAAATCTATACATCTTCTATATACTATATTACATACTACAAATAAATAAAACATGCGTGAGTGTCGTGGAACACTCGGTTGGAACGAAGTTCCTTTTGTAGTTTATTATTGTTTATAAACGTATTGTATTATGGATAAACAAATACATATGATTTTACTAGTGTCTATTAAAATGAAGCATAATTTAAAATAAAATAATATTTCCTCTTGACAAGAAAAGAAAAAGTGAAAGGGAGATCGATATTGTATCATCTCGCTTCCTTATAGCCGCCAAGGCCGTCTCTACACTACGTCAGAAGGGGTCGTGACGGAAACATCCTAACACTTTTTCTCGCCTAGCCCCATCCGCCAAATTCGTACCGTCCGATAAG